GAAGCAATGAATTCCAGATATTCCTCTTTGTGAATAATATTGTATTAGTTGCATGTAGCCCAGCAACATTGCAGAGCTTTCCAGGGCATTCAAGAGTTTGGCTTGACCATTCATTCAATAAAGACCAAGTGGGTAAAAGAAATGTATGTTACTTGATTATAATATGCATTTGGATTAACAATCTGTAGAGTTTGTCAGTTTGTCAGTGTATATATCTGATACTGACAGGATAGATAGATAAGTTGAACCCATAGTCGAACAGGAAGAGGAGAGTGGGCTGAATTGCCTTCATGAAATTACAGAGTTCCCTTAATGACGCCAAGCTTCCTCTGGAAATAAAATTGTTTGGTGCAGCAACATTACTGCTGTTCTGATGACCTGCAACATTAGTAGAAGAATTAAAAATAAATATCACCCAAAGGGCAAAGGAGAGGTACGTGGTGGGGCGAGCAAGCTCCAACCTGTTAGCAATGAAGAACTTCAAAGAAGAAGAGCGAAAGCAATCATTAAGGAGTTGTGTGATGGGAAGAGAAGATGGGCTCACACTGTGAACTGTGATCAGAGTGAGGAATGAATGATGGAGGAATAACCAGAATCACTGAAGCTTGTTGAGCAGGGGAGTGACACAGTTATATCCATACTTTAGGAAAATCATCTTGGCAGCTGGGTGTTGGATGGATTAGAATGGGCAGGGACTGAGTCTGGAGACCAATTAGAAGGCTATTGTAATAGTCCACGTTAGAAGTGATGAGTGACTATATGAGTAGAGAGAAAGGGGCACATGCTAGAGATGCTGGAAAGGTAGAAATTTTATTTTACAGTGTACATTGAGTGAGGAGTTGAGGATGAGATTGCAAGCTTGGGTGACTGGGAGGTTCCCTTTAATAATAATGAGGAAATTGGGAAGAAGAAAGGAGGTAGGTTTTTTTTGGGAGGGGAGGGGGAGAATAGTGAATTCTGTTTTGGACCAATTGAGTTTGAGATACCTATGGACATACCATTTGAGATGTCCAGAAGGACTGCAAGATACTGAAACAGTCCCTGAACTCAAGTAACTTACAGTCTAATAGTAGGAAAAACCTTCTATACAGTATAGATAAGTAAATACAAAAGATAAATATGTGTGTGTACACACACACACACACACACAACACACACACACACACACACGAAAACCAAACAACCCAAGGGGGAGTGCTAACAGGGTGCTCAGGAAATGCTTCAGGAAGGGGCACTTTTGCTGATGTATGTGAAGGAAGAACATTACAGAAATGAGAAACACACTAGAGTAGGAGGTGCAGTGCCTTGTTTGGAACCAGCAAACAGTTTGTTAGTGACAAATAATCATGGAAGTGTTAACAATTTTATAGACACTTCTAGTTTAATTCCATGATTTCGTCAATATCTGCATTTCAGGGAAGAGGACTTTGCACTGACTAGTTCATTGTAGACTAATAATTGTTAGACCCTCACTTTTAGAACTGTACAGTAAAAGATGCAGGTCTTGCTAATTATTTGGACACTGCAGGTAGATAGGTGGCTCTGGCCCAGGAGTCAGGAATATCTGAGTTGAAATCTGGCCTCAGACACTCCCCAGCTGTGTGACCCTGGGTAAGACACATCCTCTGTTTGGAGAAGGAAATGGCATGCCACTCCAGTATCTTTGCCAAAAAAATCCCATGGATGGTATGGTCCTTGGGGTCATAGAGAATTAGCATGAAAGACTCAACAATAACAACAACAAAAAATGTTCTTGCCTTAAAAGATGCAAGAATATACAAATCTTCTTGGGGTTTTTTGTTGTCTTTTTTTTTTTTCCCTGCAGGATAAGACTCCTCCCTAAAATTCTTTGGGCTTTTGTTAATGCTGAGTATGAGTTTACACCTCATTGTTAGAGATTGAAAGCTGTGGGGGATGAGGAGTGCTATGAGTGTTAGGTTTTTCCATTTGAGTTAATGAAAAATGATAAGACTTATCTCTGCCTTAGATTTCTCCTAAAACATTATGTAAAAGCAATATGGTGGCCAGGGAGGAAATGAATTGAATTGAATTGACTAAAGCCAGTTCTGAAAACATGAGAGAGATATGGCTTATTACTTGAAATCTTCTAATTGCTAGAAGGGAGGAAAAAACAAAACAAAACCCTGTGGCAATGCTAATAATATCTGTTACCATGAGAAATAATGTGAATACAAAAATAAAATCTTCCTATAAACATCTATTATATGCCATTTGGAATAATAGATTCAATTCTAACAGACTGGAGCACTGTGAGGAGTTTAACCACAAGCGATTAGTGTTCATACTAATATATGCTTGCTTTATAACACATAGGGGCCTCCTTGTTTGTACAAATTGCCTAGCTTATGGAACAGAAGCATTTTCCTTCCAACAGCAGTGCAATCACTATAAATAAGTCTCAGAACCAGGGCCGCTAGGCATCTTGTAAATATGCCTGTTCTTCCCATTGCCTTGTGGTTTCTGGGCTTTTTTTTTTCTTGTTGTGATTAAATAAAGGTTATAAATCCTTTTGCAAATGTATATGGTAAAATGTAAATTAGTAAAAATAAAGGCTTGATAGGAAGGGAAGAGGAGGAGGATAGTGGTGAAGAGATTTAAAAAAATGTTTTTTAAAAGGGCAATTTGTCCCCAAATGTTTAGCTCAGTACATTTCAGGGCAACTTTACACCTTTTAATAACATTTTTGCTCTGTAGCATCATTAGAATCAAGTGTACATGTTTGTGGATTTGGGATTGGGAGGGTCCTATCTTTTTGTTTGGAGCCCTTTGAGAGAAGGAGAGTTGTCTAAGGCGCAGGTTTGAATTTAGATGCCTGTGGCCTGCTCACTCTCCTCTTGGGCAAAGAAGAGAATAGATTGTTCAGAACACTGACTTGAGTAGGAATCTGCCCACCTGGTTTCCACAGGGGGCTGGTGGGTGCTGACTGGGGCACAGTTTAAAGCAAACCAAAGTTAGCCTTAAAAACATTGGCATCCTAGTTAGTCCTTAAAGCTAGTGGGAAGGGGGTGGGGGTGGGGGTGGAGTAGAGAATGAAAAGAATTGTGCAACTGCAAAGTTATTGTAGGATTTGGATTAATTAATGAAAAACATTGATTCAACTCTTATTATGCGCCCAGTACTGTGCTAAGTGCTAGGGACACAAATTTAAACACACAACAATCCTTGCTTTCAAAGAGCTTCCCTTCTGATAGAGGAAGAAAACACATATAGGAGAGTCTGGCTTCATGGCAGATGGGGTACAGAGGCAAAGCAGAGGGTAATGCCACTAGGCAGTACAGTGGATAGAGTGCCAGGCCTAGAGTCAGGAAGAGCTGAATTCAAATTTGATCTCAGATACTTAGGAGCAATTTGACCCTGGGTAAGTCAGTTTGCCTTAGTTTCCTCATCTGTAAAATGGGGCTAATAATGGCATCTAACCTCTCCCAGGGTTCTTATGAGGATCAAACGAGATAATATTTATAAAGTGTTTAAAACAGTCGCTGGCACATAGTGAGCACTTAATAAATGTTAGCTACTATTATTATTAGTGTCATTTCCAACAATAAAACCACATCCTTTGAACTCTTTGATGTTCCCAAGGAAACTTTCTCTTTTGTGTGTGTCTGGTAGCAGTTCCTGTTGAAAAGGAAAGGCTTTCCTTATGACAAGTCTTGCTCACCTGGCCATTGATTTGGTGCTGGGCTACAACCTAGGCTAGTGGTGGAGGGTTGGGTGGGAGGCTGTGCTGCTTCTGGAGCTCCTAAGCTTGCTTGCCATTGGTGGAAACTGGTTGCTAGTTGGTGTTGGTAGTAACTGACATGGCAGACCCTTTCTCCATAAAGATTGATGGCCACGGGGACAGACCAGAAGCAGGGCCACTGTTCTAGAGGTTATTGCTGTTCCCAGGACTCTTGAGCACAAAATCCTGGGCTTGTGTCCACTGGGGTGCAAAGAGAAGTGGTGGTGATTTGATGTGCCCAGCACACAGGGCCCCCATCCTTTCCTCAGATTGCCTTGCTGGTTCCCAGCTACCATGTTGGTGGAAAGGGCAGGCATGGCAAGCTTCTCTTCTGTAGAGAAGAGCTAGTCCAAGGGCTGGTGGACTGAGGGACACTTTATTCATTGAATAGTTACTACATAGAGAGATCCTAATGTTTTCCTAGCAAAATTACCTACCTCACAGGATTGTTATGAAACTCAGATAAGATTTTACATTTCTCAGCCTTCACTGCAGTGCCTTGGACTGCTCCTCTGGCACAGAGGACTTTGATAGGTGAACCTTGCTTTGCCTCATTTTTCTCAGAACCAGGCCTGCAGACTATTTCTGAGCCTCTTCCATACCATCCCCCCCCATTTGTCTGACCTCCCCCTTTCTAGCTCCCCTCATTAGACTGAAAGCTCATTAAGGACCAGGACTGTCTTGCTTGCTTCTCTTTGTTTCCAACAGGTGCCTGGCACAAAGTAAGCACTTAATAAATTAGCTATCTAGTTAGCTATCAGCTCTATGAGGAGCTGATAATAGATGAGCAAACTCTAGTGGGGAAAAGCTTCAGACAAGGAGTCAGAAGACTTGTCAAGTCTCAGCTCTGTTCCTAACCCACCAGTTTTGTGACTGGAAAATTAATCCTGTATCTCTGGGCCTTGTTTCTAAATTCAGAAGGTTGTACTACATGATTTCTAAGGTTCCTTCCAGCACCAATAATCAGTGAATCTACGAAACTCATTCAGAAACAATAAAAGATTGGCTAGCAGTCCCATGGCTGGTAAAGCCGATCTAGGCCTTAGAACCTAGGTTTTCTGACTCCAGGGTAGTGCTTTTGTACTTTGTAAAGTACCTCATGAACACAAGTTTGGCTAAAAGCTAGAGAAGAAAAAAAAATGCTGTCGTTTTTATTGGTGTTCTAGAATGAGTATCTTCTATGTTCCTTTTAGAAAAAAAAATTAGTGTTAAAAATTTCTTGCTGCATGACCCTCTCCTACCTCTTTGCTTGGGTTTTCAGATCAACTCCAGTTTTGCAAAGAGGATCCAGACCAAAATCAAGGACCTCCTGCAACAGATGGAGGAAGGCCTGAAGACTGCTGATCCTCATGACTGCTCTGCATACACTGGCTGGACAGGTAAGTCTAGAGCATGGCATTTGGGAATCTCTTTCATTTTATTCCTTTTGCTAGATTTTTAGTCTCTCCCCCTTTTAAAATAATTAACTACTTATTTGTAAATAAGAGTTTGAGGTAAGCACTTTTTATACCTCAGGGTGTTAAAGAAATGTAAGTTATTACTTTGAACTGATTCCTTGTTGATCAGGTGCTTTACACTTGTACAAAGGTCTTTTGTGCGTTAAGGATTTTTGACTAGGTAGTCAACACTTGAACTTTATTCATTAAAAAGAATCTTGTTTGAGCTGACTTTTAGCTCTGCAACTAACTGCCCATGCTGTTTTATCATAAGCATACCATAATAGCAGTAGTATAATCTCTGATCTTTGAGGCAGAATGAGACCAGACTTAGGGTTCTGGCTATTATTTACTATCTCTGTACCTTGTACAAACCTCTTTACTACTGTGTGCCTCAATTTTTTCATCTATCAAATGGGGATAATATACTTGTACTGCTGTTTCCTCCACAGAATTTTTGTGAGTATCAAATGGGATAATGTCTGTGAGATCACTTTGTAACTATGAATGTAAGTTAAAAACAATAATAATGTCTTAACTTGCCTTCCCCTACCCCAGTGCCTTTGTGGCTCGTTATGGTTGAATAGATTTTTTGGTGATTAAGCAATCAGCTACTCTCATATGCCCATCTACACTAGTTTAAAAGTGAGTGAAATACTGAGGCCATCTTTTGAAAACAGGAAATTTGAATCTGTTCGTTAATAGATGAAAGCAGCCAACATTAACTGTTGAATAGCAAGAAGAATTCTTTGGAGCAGGGATTCTTAACCTTTAGCAGCTTAGGGAAGATTATGGAGCCCTTCTTAGAATATTTCTTTTAAAAATTAATAATTGAAATAAAAATTATATTTCAGTTAAAGGTTAGTGAAAAAAATGTTTTTGTCTCTCCAAACTAACAGATCTCCTGAAATCTGTAAATGGATTAGATTAAGATTTGTCCTTTTCTAGATTCTAATATTCCACTGATTCAGCTTGTAAGTATCTGTTTCATGTATAAGTAGTAATTCAGTCAGTGCAATGATGGAACAAAGGAAATCAGAATAAGGTCTTTGTTCTCAGAAAACTCAAGCTTAGTTGATGACGATAAGGGGGAATTTGAGAAATAGCCATAGATATTGGCAAGAACTACCCCAGGTCTTAGGGAGTTAGCAGTGGCTGGCTTTCTGCTGTCAGAATTGCTGATGACTATAACATAATCAAAACCTTTTAGCCCTTTAAGAAGATTATAAACCTGTAGACTGAATTTAATATATAAAACCAGCAAATGCTATGCCAAGGACAAAAGCTGTGATTGACTTAAAGATTAGAATCCAATGGGAAAACCTCGTAAGCACTGTCCAATATTAAGGTTCTTAGATTCTGTTATATTTAAAGATAGAATAGAGACCATCTAAGTAAAGAAGAAATCAGTGTTTTCAACATGTTAGCAATATGTTTAGCTCTAATGTTTCTGGCAGTTAAGGGATAATGGGAGATATTTTGGTTTTGAAATTGGCAGTTGACACAAACTGGAAGGGATAATTGACACATTTGTTGAAAGAGTCAGTGTTCAGAAATATCTCCTTGGACTACATCTACTCAGATAAATCATACATTTCTACTGTAACGATTCTTTGTCAGGTATTGTGCCTGGATGCTGCAGATGCAGAGACAAAAATGAAACAGTCTGTGTCCTTAAGGAGCTTGACCTTCCAGTTGCTGAGACAGTGTGTATACATGGAAGTTTATAAAAATAAATATATAATAACTCAAGGAGGAAGCCCCAGCCTCTGGGGCTGAGTGGGGGGAGATCAGGAGAGCCCAGGAAAGGCTTCCTATAAGAGGTGGTGTTTGAGCTGGGCTTGGGAGGAAACAAGATCCTGAGAGGTGAAGGTGAGGAGAGAGATCGTTGCAGGGGCAGCCGGTACACAGGCTTAATCAGGCTGCTGTTTCATGTGTGAGTAGCAGCAAGAGAGCCAGTTTGGCCGGGCTAGAGAGTATGGGGAAGGGACTAAGACAGGTGTGTAGGTGGGAGAGTCATCTGTGTAGAGATGGTAACTGAACCAAGGTAACTGAAGACATCAATAGAAGAGTTTACAGAGAGAAAGAAGAGGGCCTAAGACAGAGCTGTGCTGTATGTCCTCAGCTTAGAGGGTAGTCCTTGAATGAAAGTCCAACAAAGCAGACTGAAGAGAAGCAGACAGAAAGATCAAAGTTGACCCAAGATAGAGCAGTGTCAGAAAAGCCAGGGAGAAGAGAGTAACCAGGAAGAGAGAGATGTCAACAGTGTTCAGTGCTGGAGAGATGTCAAGAAGGATGAGAGTTGAGAAAAGGCCATTGGATTTGGCAGTTAAGGGAGGGAAGTTTCAGTTGAGTGGGGTGGTCAGAAGCCAGATTACTAGGAGTTGAGAAGTGAGTGAGAGGAGAGGAAGTGAAGACAGAGAGTTTGTCAAAGGGAGACTTGGTATAGGATAGCTTGAAAGGTTGGGAGAGTCAAATGGGGATGGGATGTGTAATTAAAGCTTGGGGAGATCTGGACATTTGTAGGAAGTAGTAAATGAACTAGTAGATAGGGAAAGATTTAAGAGGAGAGGATAATTATGGGAACAGTCTGCTGGTAGAGATAGGAAGAAGAGAGAATCAAAGATTCAGTTAGAGAGGTTGGCATGGTGAGGATGGGGCCCATATCTGCATTAGAGAGTGGAGTTAAAGAATAGAAAATGGAAGCTAATGGCAAGGGGTTTTGAAATATAGAGCAGTGGAGAAGGAGCTTGGAGTTGATACCCTCTTTCTCTATGAGGTATGTAGTGAGGGTGCTCTCTGCTGAGAGCAGGTGGGAAGAGGGAGGGAATCTGGAGGAGCAAAAAAAGGGTTTGAAACAGCTACTGTGAGAAGTTTCTAGAGAATCAAGAAGGAAGGAATGAAAGGCTTGCTCTATTGCAGTGAGGGCCTAGTTGAGATGAGCTGACATAAATTTGTAGTTGTAAGTCTTCCTCTACAATTGGGTTAAAAATTAGCTTTCTATGTATGTAAGATGGGGGAGGTGTTGGTAGGCAAGTCTGCAAATTTTAGGGGACTGTAGTGAATTGTGACATCGCAGCCAAAAAGGCTAATGTGATCCTGGTCTGTATGAAGATTAGCATAACGTATATAGAATGCTGGCTGATAGGTCCTCTGTACTACCCTGGCCACACCACATTTAGAATAGCAGGATTGCTTTGGTGACATTTTTTAGGAAGGCTTTTAATGAGGCAAGGTTAGGAAGATATTAGCCCTGAGGACCTATCCTCGTGAGGATCTTTTGAAGGGAGTAGGAACAATTAGCCAGCAGTAGAGAAGTTGTGATAATTGGCTTAAAATACTTGAAGGACCAACATGTGGAAGGACTTTTTCTGCTTGGCCTGAAAAAGGATAGTTTTTGGAAGTTTCAGAGACATAAGTTTAGGCTTTATATAAGGACAAACTTATTTCTTAATAATTAGAAGGGAAATTGGGCCATCTTAGGGAACCGTGGGTTTCCTGTCACTGGAGATCGTCAAGGAGGACTAGGCATCACTCGTCAGGTGTATTGGAGAGGGATTCCTATTCCAAAACAGGTTAGAATGGCTTGGGTCACTTCTGACTCAACAGTTCTGTCATTCCTTAGTCCATTTGCCCCCTAAAGTTAACAATGTACCATAAAGTGCTGATTATAGTAGTTATATTTCATTTTTTTCATCAATAAAAATTATTTAGTGCCAACAATAGTAAACAGATGCAGGAGGCCAGACGGATGCATACAGTAAGGAAAACCGATCCCCAATGCAGTTATGAACCTAACCTGGCTAAAGTGAGTTTAACTAGTAAAAACAAAAGTATATCTAAGAAGGAATCACAGCAGGGCCGGCAACAGGCCTCTTTCCCTAGCTGCCCTTGTTTACCTCTAATGGTCTCCAGTCCAGGCATACTTGCTCCTTGGCATCTCACTAGCTGTGTCTGTCATTAAAAGATTCCATTTGGCCAGTCTGAAGAGCATTTGGCTTTTGATTCATTGCTCACCCAAAACTGTACCCTATTTTAAGAATTGCGTTGTCAATCATATTGTAGCCGCCTCACATAGTTAAATTAAGGCTGTTTTAAATAGAACCTTGCATTGTATCTGCTGTGTTTTTTAGTTTGCTCATAGTTAACTCTGTCTACTTTCAGTAAGCTCAGTGTAAATTTAAAACAACAATAAAAAAAGAAACATTCATGGTGAGTGCTGTCTTCAGTGATCTTATGTTAGTTATAGTCAGTGGACCCATCACACTGGTTTTGAGGGATGTGGATTCTAGTTGCTCCTTTCGTCGCAGAGCCAGCTAAGTGGAGGTTCATCTGTCTTGGTTTTTAAATAGATAGAGAGCAGACTGGAGGTGGGAAAGAGGGAATAGAAATCTGCTGAGTGGCTGCTTGTAACATCCTTGCTCTAGTCTAAGGTAAAGCTTTTTAGCAGTGTATATTGTGCCTCTTACTTCGGAAGCTTGGTCTTCTTTATTCACAACTATCAATTCCAGAGATTGTTTCTTATCCTAATATAGTGGGAAGAGTTTGTGCCAAAGAATGTTGGAAGTGGATTCTAAATACTGCTATTGGGGCTGAGGCAGAAGGGAAACGTAATAACACTTTTCTTTTGGGGGTGGGGGCTTATTCTAGGCATAGCCCTTCTGTACTTGCAGATGTACCGTGTCACTTCGGACCAGGCCTACCTGCTGCGATCCCTGGATTATGTGAAGAGAACGCTTCGTAATCTCAGCGGCCGGAGGGTCACTTTTCTCTGTGGGGATGCGGGGCCCCTCGCTGTAGGTGCTGTGGTGTACCACAAGCTAAAGAGTGACAGCGAGTCCAGAGAGTGCATCACAAGGTGAGTTAAGCTCAAAGTCTCTCTCATTTCCTAGTTGGGGTTATTGCTGTGGAAAAGTACCTCAGAAAAATTGCTTTTGTGCTTGTCTTACATGAGACAGAGGGAAGCCAACGTGCCACTTCTGGAACTGAAAAACTTTTATAATGTGCCCTGTCCCATCATAGTGGGACAACCAAGTTCTGTCTTCTGTGGGCAGAGTTCCACTGGAGTGATCTGTGTAGCTGAGACATGAGTTTGGTTTATATTTTAGGGAACAAACATGTTCCTTTGAGTCGTAGTCGAAGCCACTTAAATATTTTTCTCTCAGATGCCTTAGCTGGCATTTAATGAAAGCCTGGGTTAGGGCTCTGTGCTGACTTGCTAACTGGGATCTATTAAGGGAGAAGAATTAGTGGGGATAGAGAAGGATTTGGAGGGTTTTTAATCTGGGCCTCGAATCAGGGATGACCCCATTCATCAGGTCCCAAGAATATGTGAATGTGGGGGATTAACTTCTTTTTAATAAAGGGGATTCCATGTCTCTTCTGAGGAAATTGATTTTGGTTTTATTTTATTTTTTGTTTTTGTTTTTTTTAATTAGACTTTTGCAGCTACAGAAAACAGTCGTAAGTCCAGACTCAGACCTTCCAGATGAACTCCTTTATGGACGGGCAGGTTACCTGTATGCCTTACTGTACTTGAATACAGAGATTGGTCCAAACACAGTGTCTGAGACAACTATCAAAGAGGTATTGATTATAGGAGCTAACTGCCAAACGTGATAGCTATGCAAGAGTTATACTCATCTCTTTGTTTAAAATCTGGCAGTGACCAGGATCCTAGGTCTAGAGCTGGAAGGAACCTCCTGGCAATCTATCCCAACTCTCTCATTCTACAGAAAAGGAAACTGAGGCTCAGAGAGGTTGAGTGACTTTCCCAACATGACTTAATAAGTAAACATTAAAGGTGGGATTTGAACCAAGGACTTTTGACTACTCCAGAGTCAGTACTCTTTTCCCTTGTACTGGGCTGAACATTCTCAGACACATGAGAAATAGCTCCTGTTTTTCTTTCTGAATAAACTTTTAAAATCAACTACTTCCTCCATTGACCTATTAGCAGCCTTTCCTTTCAAAACATTCTTCCTAGTGCTTAACATAAATTCCTTATGCTGTAATTTATCTTATTTGTTCCTGTTCATCCTCACTAATGATAAAGATAGTTGACCTTCCCTTAGCTGTCTCTTCTCTGGCCTAACTATGCCAGTTTTCCAGTCTATCTGAACAGGTTTATTTTCTAGACTTCTGTATTTTCCTCCTATTAAAAAAAAGTAAAGTTGGAACTAGAAAAGAACAGTAACAAAGTGGTTTGAATTATTTGATTTCTTATCTACTACCCACTTCAGACTGATAATCAATAGAGGAGACAGGAAAGAGCAATAGTAAGCTATTAGGTAGTAATTCCTTCTAAGTACCACAAAAGCCATTTGTAGAAACTACTTTTGACGTTTTTATAGTGTCCTGGGTTTCATTACAGGGAAAGTCTCTGGTTGGCTTGGAGCCTCAGTTTATTAATCTGTCAAATGGAAGTAATGTATGCTGAGTACCAGGAAATTTTCATGTAAAGAATTTATATAATTCTAGAGAACTATTATTACCTTAGATTAGATTGTATTAATAATAAAGAGATTGATATTTGGAACAAAGTCATTACAAGTTTTTGAGATTCGTGTTGTCTCATCTTTAGGTAGTAAATGCCATCATCGAATCAGGTAAAAATCTATCCAAGGAAGAGCGCAAAACTGAACGCTGCCCACTGCTCTTCCAGTGGCACAGGAAGCAGTATGTTGGAGCAGCTCATGGTGTGGCCGGAATCTACTATATGTTAATGCAGGTAAGTGTGTTCTAGAATCGAGCTCTCTTGGCAGCACAGTAGACTGATCACACTGCCATTTTGGTCACCAAATGTTAATAAAGCCTATTGGTCTTATACAGTATGAAACTAGAGACTTACTGTTACCCCTCATGTGAAACTGGTATTTTTTAGAAAATATGATTTCATTGCCTCACTTTGAATCACAGATGAATTAATTCTCCTTGGATCACAAGCTAGATGCTACTGAAAATACATATATTATTTATACCAAACTGCCTGATGGTCTAGGTTTTTGCAGATGAGCTGCCATGGGTGAAATTCGGCCATCCACTCATTTGCTTAGTGTCTAGTCTCCTCTGCAGAGACTGTCACGTAACAGAATTGGCCTCCCCAAAGCCTGGTGATTTACTTCTTATTAAGAGACTATATTGTATGTAAGTCCCCAGCTAATAAATGGGTTTGGATTTTACCTGCTCACAAATGATGCTTATACTTATAATTAAACTCAAAGTACTATCCCAGCTACATGTTTCTGAGTGACTTTCATGTTTGTTGTTGTTATTTTTAATGGATAGATGCATTTTTAACTCCAATTTTGCATGCCAGGAATGCATCTCTGCTCGCAAAACACCCCCCCACACACACACCTGTTGTAGTAGCTCACTTAGAAACAACCCAAGAGGAGAAGGCAGTAGGTACTTCTGAGTGTCAATGACTTCTTAATTTCCTAGTCCTCTCCAGCTGCATTGGCTGTATAAGGTTCCGTAATTTCTGAGCTGGGAGCACCTTCAGCAGCTACCTCATCTGACCCATATATACTACAATATGACCAATACGTGGCCATCCGCCCTCTGTTTGCAAACTTCCAAGAAGGGGGGACCCACTGCTTCCTGAAGTGATTCATACAGCTTGTTCCCCCATTCTGAGTTTAGAAACAAAGATTTGCTGCTTCTCTCAGACATAAGAACAAGGACTTTAGACTCAGACTTCTCCTTTGTTCATTTGTTAGCCAGGAAATACTAAAATGAAGTCTAAGCCAGCACTCATGATGGTCATTAGAGGCCGAGACTGCTGAAGCAGATCCACCTTTGTGGGAAGGGTGAAGCCTTAGTAGAAAACTCTGGACAGGCTGCAGACATTCAGCTGGTTAAGTTCCTCGTGAAAATGTCATTGTCCAAATGTCTCTGCTTCTTGCCTCTAAGTCCTCAGAGCCACATTTCTGCAATCACGCCCTGGAAACACACACATAAGTGATACAGCCCTTGTATGGCCTTCAGTCTACAATGAGTCATAGAGACTTTAGACAGAAGGAATGACATCTGTCAGCATATGTTCAGTGACAGCATCAGCTTCTTTTTTTGGGAGCCCTTCCCATCCTCTCCATCCATATTCTTCATCCTGAACCTGCCAGAGGAGAATACTTTCAGCTGGTTTAGATACCACGAGTGGTAGATCACACCAAAAATCATCCTTAAATAATCCAAAATTAATCAAACACAAGCCCCCAAGTGCATCCTCCAAGTTATAGGGTCTCAAGGACATGCTTTCTAGGGCAGTGCTTTCTTGACGCTCACTCTCTCACCTCAATGTCATATCTGTTGCTTCTTCTGCCTACTTCTGCCAAAGAAAAATCTTTTTTTGGGGGGGTGGGGCAGGTTTAGCTGTGTCTTGATTTTTAGGTTTCCATTTTGGGACGAGAAATTCTCAGTGGTTATTGTTCTGCAATTTCAGTGAAGCACCATGTGAAGGTACCTTTAAGCAAAGGTTTATTTTACTCCAGGAAATGTGTCAACTAACAGACCATCTGCTTTAATGTTGAATTTTGTTAGAAAATGATTGACCTTTTTTGTGATATTCATTCTTTAAAAGTACCTATTAATTCAAGAACTAATAGGGCTTACCAGGATGCAGTATTTGTGGTGGCTTCTGTGATTAATGAGGTATAGATAATGCCCCAAGCAGCAGTGTAAAACACTAAATTTTGCCCATTTGTTTTTAAGTACCAATATAAATAATTCTTGCATAGCAGAATTTTGAGGATAAGAAATTAATGCCAGCACAGGTCTCAATCTATTCCTCTATAATTTAGTTACCTGCTATAATTATACAAGATAGATAAGTGTGAAAATGGACCAGCCTGCCAGATCCTTTGCAGTATATACAAATCTTCAGAATAACTAAAGTCATGTGCCTTTTAAAAAATAAAATACCATTTGCATTTAGAATAGTTACTTCATTTCTATATTCCCTGGACAATTACAGTTCTGCATGAGACATGGGGAATCTTTTTCTGTCAAGGGATTATATTATATCCCATAGAAATAAAAAGCATCACGATTTAGTTGTTAACTTAGTTTTAAAAGAGAAATATGCATTATGAAGTTTTAAAAAATATTAAATATTATATTTACTTTCTTTAAAACTATTCAGTATATAAGACACTTTAACAATAAATATGTCTACTTTGTGGCTATTAAAGGGTGGAGAGAAGGAGAAAGAAAAGGGAAAAGATGGGAGAGAAAAAAGAAGGCAATCAGCGCAGTCATAGGCACGTGTACCAAGAGACAAGAGACTGAGCGATAGGCAGAGTAAGAGGTATAGGGAGAGCTGTTAGGCTTAATTATAAGTGCTCATTGCCAGGTCTGCAGGTGCACATGCAGTGGATGATAGAGTGATAGAGAGAAGAGTGTAAGCTGACTGCAAGAAGTGGCATCGAAGTCACCCCAGTTTGCAACTTCAGTGTCACTTAATTCTCACACATTACCCCGTCAGTTGCCAAGCTCTTTATTTTTGCCTCCCTGACGGTTTTGGCATATGCCCCCTTCTCTCCACTCACACAGCTACAATGATAGTTCAGGCCCTCATCCCCTCTTGCCTGGACTATGATAATAGTCTGCTAATTGGCCTCCCTGCTTCAAATCTCTCACTACTCCAATCCATCTTTCATATAGCTGCCAAATTGATTTTTCTAAAATAAACTCTGCTGTCTCTCTATACCTTCAAAAGATTAAATAGAAACTCCACTAGTTAGCATTTAAAGTACTACATAATCTGTCCTAATCCTGCTTTTCCATGTACTCAGCAGTCCAGCCATGCTGGTCCTCTTAACTGCTCCTTACTCACAACACTCCATATCTGATCTCTGGGTCTTTACCTGGGCTGTCCCTTATGCCTGGTAGGTACTCTTTTCTTATCTCTGTCTTTTTAATTCCTGGTTTCTTTCAGTATGAGGCCTTTCTCAATTCTGCATAGTTGCTGGAGCTCCTCTTTCCACCACCCCCAAGATCACCTTGTTTTTGTTTTGTTTATATTTTGTATGTACTTCTGTATGTGTGTGTTATCTCCTCCATTAGAATGTAAACTTGCTAAGGACAGAAACTGTCTTTGTATCCCCAGTGCCTAGCGCGGTACTGGGCTCAGAGTAGTTACTTAATACATCCCTGGTGATTGATTGACAAAGACAATATTGAGAACATGTATACTTGGAAAAGGAGCTGGTACAGTCACTTACCAAAAATGAGATACAGCAGTGGGGGTTTCCAGGGTTACACTTGGGTTGTCTGGGATACTAAAAGATAAACAAGAAGGAGAATGGCTCATTGGAAGCTACTTTATATGGAATTTAGGGGGAAAACAGGCAAGCAACATGTAGGATGAGAGATGTGGAGGATACTTCTGTACTGATGTATTTACTTTTATCTCCAGCACCTGTTTCTCCCAGAGTATCCTCTCACTCTTCTTCTCCTAGAGAGCCATCCTTTATAACAAAGAGTAGAAAAGGGGGGAGAGGAGGGAGAGGGGCAGAGCCCAGTTCAGTAAAACTAATGAACCATCAAAAAAGTCTGACATTATCTGCAGTTTCCCACATCCGTAGTCCTCTACCTGTGTAAAAACAAATGGAAGTGTCTTCCCAGCTATTCTTTGAGTCCAAGCCTGCTCTCTGTAAAATTTCAGAGCGTTTAGTTTCAGCTGTTTTGTTGTTGTCTTTCCATTTACATTGTTGGAGTGATTGTGTTGTTTCCTTTGTTCTGTTTGATTCATTTTGTATCAGTTTATAAGCCTTCCAATGTGTCTCTGTATTCCTGTTCATTTTTTTTCTTAAGGAAAGTGATTTTTCCAATAAAAGGAGTTTCAATAAAAAGGATTTCCTGATTAAGTCTTAGATAACCAGATAATTAAAATAACCGTAACCTCTTTATTTGCCAAATATTCTAAGCAGTTGAAGTTTTATTCTGTTTACTATGACATAGTTATCTTTTTTAAATGCTAAAAGAATATATTATAAATGTGTGTCTTGCTTTGTTTTAAAGCCAGCATCTAACGTGGACCAGGAAACCTTGGCAGAGTTGGTGAAACCAAGTGTTGATTATGTGCGACATAAAAAATTCCGATCTGGAAATTATCCATCGTCGTTAAGCAATGAAACGGATAGATTAGTCCATTGGTGCCATGGTGCCCCAGGGGTTATACATGTGCTTCTACAAGCCTATAAGGTCAGTCTTCACTTTTCTTAATGAACATCCAGTGTAAAGATGACCACCTTTTCTTCACAGAAGTAGATTTTCGTTTTGACTTTGGGTAGGACGTAGACCTTTCCAAGTTAACATTCTGTCAAAGAAAGTAGGAATTATTTTTTTAGTTGGGTTATTGTTGTGTCTCACTAACTGGCAGCATATTAATAAATGGTAGAAAACCTAATGACAGCATAGTTTTCATTCTGCTGAGATGCTTGCAACAAATTGAGGGGCTAGAAAATTTCACCAGCTGCCAATATTTGGCTTACTTCTAATCATCCAGGCTCACAGACTTTCTTTTTATCCCTTCTTACCTTTGACAAGGTTTTAATACAATATTGCTGTTCAGGAACTTTGTACATTTATTTAAAATTGCTTTAGTGTCTGCCTGAGAACTAAGGGAAATAAGTGGAAGTAACATTAAGTTCTAGGCCTTTTTCAATACTGTATTTGATAAACAGCTTGAACAAATTGCCACATGTAAGTTAAAGTGAACAGTGGTTCTTGTCCAGCCTTCCTTTCCATGGTTTGCATCCTTATTTGTGACAGTCCTCTCACTAGAGATGGTAGTATTCTGAATCACATCACTCAACAACCATGCAATTCATTTGTTTCCATGAGGATTGGGTTATGGTTATATGGCAAGATTTTTTGATAAAGGAGCAAAAAAGCAGTATAACTAAGAGAGTAATCATTCACATTTTCACCAGAAATGGTAAGTGCTAAAAGTTTGGTGAACTTGGCAAAGAACTGGAGCTTGATGTTCTCAGATCTTTTCTTTTTTCAGTTTTTTTTTTTTACAATTTCATTGCCATTAGGAATTCCTTATGAGGAAATGCCCTCCACTGATGCAGGACTGGACCTCCTTCACAACCTAGACAGTCTTAGAATGGTCTGAGGCATTGGGAGGTTCACAGGGCTTGCTATCTTGTTTTACAGGCAGGCCTTGAACCCACTTAGAATTTCCTGATGCTGGCCCTCCCACTGTACGCCACTGCCTGCCTCCTTTTCTTTCTCCTGTAATTAAGAGAATAACGTAAAAGAAAATAAAACATCTGCCATCAAAGAAGACCAGAATCCATCTCCTTTCCCTTTCTTAAGTCTTCATGAATAATCAGGAGAAAAGGGCATTTACTGAAGGGCCTTAAATAGAGAATCCTCATAAAACAAAAGAAAAAGGTTTCACATAACTCAGAAGGAGTATTTGGGTGGCCATTGGCTTTTAGTATAAGGAAGAAATAGCTAAGGGAGTATTTGGGGAATCCACATTACCCAGGTTTCTTTTTCCCTTGAAATTCCTCTATTTAAATGCTAACCCAGCCCATCCCTTCTCAGTATTAACGTGTGTAAATATCTTACTCATTCTTTTGCTTAGTCCTGCCACGCCAGCTAAAGATACCACCCTGTGCTTAACTGCAGCTGTATTTCTACCATGATACAGTCATCCAAAGATATATTTCAGCCTTATATTATCTGTATAGATGTCCTTCAATATGCAGCATATACATAGAGTCTAGGCAGCTTGACTGCTAAATGGATTTCTGTGTGCCCGCAACCTTATTTCACATTCACTTTTAAAGGATGGCGTGTATCAACAGGGCGCTCTGCCCTGCTGAAAAGCAATCCCTGGCTCTGGCATTCCTTCCCACCTTGTTTCTGTCACTGATCTCAGTCTCCCAGTGGACTAGAGAAAGTAGGCAGGTAACAGGCAGTCAGGCTATCATGCTGCCCAACGAATCATCTGTCACCAGAGCAGTTGGTACCATCACCCGTGACCCAGCGAGTGGCCATGGTGAGACAGATGCACCCAATGCTCAGCTGCTGGATGACTTAGATTAACTGCCTAGTGCACTTGGTCACCGAAGAGGAGATTACCCCTTGGATACAAATACCTTTTATAAACAAACGTAGGGCAAATATTAAGCTGAGAAACAGTATAATTTGTCTGAAACAAAAATGTGAGTACTTGCACAAGAATTGCACTGGTAATCAGTGCAGTTAAAACAGCAAATGCAGCCCCAAGTCCAAGCCAGATACAAACAAGAAGGTAGAAATAAGCAGGACGCTTGGTTACTTTTGTTTTCAAACCAGTAGATTCACCTTTTGTTTGATGTTAGAATAAGCACTCAGCCGCACCCTTGCTGCATTAGGCTGCAGGAGCAGGAGTTAGGCTTGTAAGGGGATCATTGGGTGGGCGGATCGTGGGAAAGGGGGAGCAGTGAAGGGTTCAGTATTCCTAGCAGCATCAGGACACGGATGGTGACCTCAGGTTCCCCCAGCAGTGGTGGGGAGGTGAGTCTCTAGCCAAGACAGACATTCACGTAAGCGGCCTGTTCATAAGTCAGCCACCTTCTCTTACCTGTCAACAAATTAGACATGGTTCTGTCCAGTTTTTCTGGGCCAGAAATAAGAAAGGATGAATAAATGCTGAAATGTGCTTGTTTCCTCTAATTCTGAAGTTCTTAAACGCCCAGTTACTGGGAGCGTCTCTGCTCAGGAGATGATTTTTCAAAGCTTTTTTTTTTTCCATGAGCAAGTGAATGTTTTTTGTTGTTGCTGGGGAAACTAAAGGAGAGCTCACATTGGCTGGAGTCAGTTGCTGGCAGGATTTAGGGAGACTTCACAGCCTTGTCCTCGAATGTCACCCCAAGTTGGCAGCATGTTAGATATTCCAATCCTGAGGCTCTTGTGAATAAGCTGAAAATTTTGCTAACTCACCTAGTCTTTGGGGGAAGTGGTATTTATAGTTGTGAGATGTACTCATTTCTCAATCTGATTTTTGCCTTTTTTGTTGAAATACTTGGAATTATTTCTCACCTTTCCCTTTAGTTATGCCTAAAGAGAAATACTGCAGGTTAACATCTTTCCATTTGGAAGAACAAAAGATTCTTCTGTGCTCAGTGGCACACTGCATCTTGTGTTAATCAGGAGTCAGGGGACTAGGGAGGAGATTTTTATCAGCCATTTGGCATAATTGCCTATTATTTATGTTAAATGCTAATTTCAAAATAATGTTGACTTATTAGTGTTGCTGCTACTGCCCTTAGAGTAGTTAGCCTGTTTCTCTCGAGATGCAGATTGGTATTTCTGTCCTAAAGCCACCCTGATTGCAAGTCCTTAATATTTTTCTGAGATGCTACTAGCTGTTCTGCATTTCATTTTCTTACCTAACCTCATCTAAGACAAGATGGTTCTTTTCTCTTCTTTCTAACTCAGTTTCTATTACATTTATAAACAAGTTTAATTAACCCCAGAGTAAGTTAAATGTGTTTCTTCCTCCTAAAAAATGCCAACATATTTTGAAAAACATGTCAAAGGTCATTAAGGGTCTTTAGCATTTTATTCAGCCATAATGATTATACATTCAGAATGTGTACCAAAAGGACAACAAATTCATTAGACTGACTGACTGTTCAGTTGGCTGGGATTTGTAAGCATCTCTTTGTCATGAGGTTTTTCACTTGGTAGAATTTGTTATGACCACAGCATACCCTTCTCTTTTTAAGGAAGAAGGAAGTTTTTGTCCAGTCGTCCAGAACCTGTGCTAAGACAGGGCAGACCCCATCCCTGCAGCAGACTGATGGCAACAGCAGATTTTCTTGTCCACTGCCCTCCTCACCCCCTCCACCTCCTTGTCCCAGAAATCGGCTTTTATCAGCCATAGTTAGACCAGACCTTTGACTCCTGCCTCAGCTAAAGCTGAGGGAATTTGTCCTCTCTGACCCCCACCTCTGTTTGACACAGAAAACTTTAAGCTGAGAATCCGTGTCTACTTCCAGGGCCAGACTTCCTTGGGATTTTAGGATGTGTTCATCCAAAAGAATTCTCCCTCCCAGGTTACTGAGGCAAAGGATGCAGACTTTGATTTCAGAGTAGGAAGTAAAAGACAAAATGCAAATGTTAATAGTGACTGTGTAATGTAATGGACAGGACAGAAAATGGGGGGTCAGAATCCTGGAGTTCTCATCCCACTTCTGCTACTGTGTAGCTGTGGGACCCAGCTTTAGTTTTCTCATCTGTAAAATGAAGGCATTGGATTAGAAGGCCCCAGAGTTCCCCTGGAGCTCTAAAATTCTCTGATTTGCAGCAATATGTGGGCTGATACTAAATTGGACAAAATGGAATCAATCAGTCAACAGTTGTAAATGATGCATCAAAAAGGCGAGAATATGCTGAGATTAGAGGGCAGGAGAATATGGGGTGCCTGGTATTGGAGGGCTGGGAGGGGAGAAAAGAACTCCAGGAGCTAGAACGCCCACCCTTGCAGGAAGTTCCTGAGTCACAGTGTTGCCTTGGGCCAACCTTGGCTACTTTTGTCGTGTATGAACAAACACAAAAAATCTGTGCGACATGCGTATTTTTGTCCTTCTCTGCTGCGTCTGTGGATGCTTAGCAGAGCTGTGGCTGTCGAGCCATGCCATCCATGGCAACACATGATTTATGAAGTTCAGGAGTGGGTGGTGTTTTTTAATAAACACGGCCAACTTTCATTATGACAGATTTCTCCCCAGAGGATTCACTGTGTAGGTACCATTGTACTCCCATCAGCAAGGTAATGTTAATATGACCTGTCAGCCAGGACATCAAAGTAGCCCTCTTACATAAAATGGGAAATTATAATGGATTGCACAGAAGCATATTTGGTCCCATTCCAAACTATGTCGGGTAGTTAGGCTCTGACACTGGCATCTTTTCAGTTAGGCGATTCTGACAGATTTTTTTCCTTTTACTTTTATAGCCAAAATAAGACCTGAGAATGACTTTGAGAAAATCTCTTAAATGGCAGGAGTTGGGGGAGGAGGGAGATGCTGAGGTAGGAGACTGTAGGCAAGTTCTTGATGTTGCTGAATGCCATTTCAAATGCATCATGTTCACAGCATAACTCCTACATTTTTTTAGCTAGTCAAGAGAAACATTTTCTAAATCAGAATACAAAAAAATTCCTTTAAAATCTGTTTCTCTTTTTTAATTCTCCAGATCTTTAAGGAGGACAAATATTTGAAGGATGCTATGGAATGTAGTGATGTAATCTGGCAGAGAGGCTTACTACGGAAAGGATATGGAATCTGCCATGGGACAGCAGGAAATGGTTACTCCTTCTTATCCCTCTACCATCTTACTCAGGATAAAAAGTACCTCTACAGAGCCTGTAAGGTAAGGCTGCCTCACCCGGGTGTCATCTTTGCACCTCAGATTTCAGGAGAGCTCATAGAGGCTCCTTGTCCTTTTCTCACGTCCTTCACCCCCAGCCCCTTCCCGTTTTCTCCTGCCTTCCCTTACGGCTATTAATCATTCTCCCAGGCACCCAGGGCCGACAGCTCCCACAACCAGTTAGTCACCACGTTGGATCGCTTTTTCCACTGCTGTTTCTCTCGTCTCCATCTCCTCCTGCTGCCTCCATCACTAGGCACTCATTGCCTCCTCCTAAAATGTGTAAGGTCCTTCAGGGCAGGGACTGATTCCTTTCTGGCTGATCTTTAGTGCCTGGTTTATTGAATGAATGACTGTAGTGTTGTTGTTCAGGCGTTTTTAGTCGTGTCTAATTCTTTATGATCCTACTTGGGGTTTTCTTGGCAAAGATACTGGAGTGGTTTGCCATTTCCCTCTTACTAGTAAGTAAGCTAGTAAGTATCTGAGGCCACATTGAACTCTGGAGGAAGAGCCTTCCTGACTGCAGACTCAGCATTCTATCCACTGTGCCACCCAGCTACCCACTAATGATGGTAGTCATGCCCCTAACAGTGTCCCTGCCTCCAGGCTCCCCCATTTCCTCACATACTGTTCTTAGCTTCACAGGCAACGAGATTACTCTTCCAATAACACAGTTTTGATCATCTCCCTTCCCCTATTCAGAGGCCTGGAGTGGTTTCCCAATTTACATTTAAAAAAAAAAAAATCTCAGCTGTCATTCAAGACCCTCTGCAATTTGGCTTTGCCCTGCCTTTTCACTGTGATCTGCCACTACTGGCCTACACTTAGCTGACTTTCCAAAGCTCTTTGCCATTGTAGGGATGAGATTCAGATTGTCCACCTTGGTCCTCTTGGCCTACAATGCCTTTCTGTCTATCTTTCTTTGTTCCTTCCTTCCTTCCTTCCAAAATACTCTCTGCCTTTCAGACTCCATCACTGCAGTGTTACCATCACTGCAGACCCTTCTCTGTTCACCCCTCAGTCAGAAGAGATCATCTCCCCTCCCTCATCAGTCCTCTTTGCACTCCGTTTGAGGTTGCTTCTCATTCCCTCTCCTGTATTGTAGTGAGGTACTTAGTACAGCTTTGTGTCTCTCTCAGTGCCTAGTATAAGGTGTTATACATATTGGACATGCTATGCATAATTATTGAAAAGACCTACCAACAAAATATTCCTTTTCCTTTTCTGTCAAAAGTGATTTCTGTGAATTCTGCAAATTCAAAAAGGCCCAGGCTCCATTCGACAGCATCAACCAGACACTGCCACAGTGCAAGATAAACCAGTGCCGTGGCCTTCAGCCAAGCAAGAGCACATGGGGACGCAAAATCTTTCTTTATGAGAGCTTTGTCTCTGGGACTCACTCTTAATGCTCTTTTCTAGAAATGAAAGGAAGACCAGCTGGGCTGCTGCTGAGAGCCAGCACCCTGGGGTTTTCTCACTCAGCTCTGCTGCCGTGGCACTCCAGACGTATTTCATATTTTACTTCTCAGGTTCTTTATTAAGAAAATAAGTGCTGTATCTAAGAGTATGAAGAAGGCAAAGCTCTTTAACAGCACTGCATAGGCTTTCACTACAACTTGAGATACACCTTCAAGACGGTAGAAAAAACTCTTTGCAGTCCTGGTAGGCAGATGTCTCAGAACACTTAATAAGTTAGACTTGAAGGGCTGGTCTAAAAAGAAAACCATCTCCTTTTATCATTAACTTTATTGTGACAGAAATTATTTAAATTTTAGTTCTTAACATTTTTAAAAACAGTTAAGTGCTTATTATGTAAGTAAATGGTGCTTTCCTTTTAATTGGGGACCTGCCCATCCCCATTTGTGATGTTATATAGTAAAAATTTGTTTTTACAGAGTAAGGTGGGACTAAGGACATTTGCTAAAAATTGATTTTTTTTGGGGGGGGACCACTAGAAATTATTAATTTACTGTAATATTTTATTAAAAATATTCTACTATATTTAAATAATGATGGGATATTAAAATGTGACAGTCTACTCATTCTCTTTGCTTGTGAATTATAGTGAACCTGAATTCAATTTAAAAATTGCATATCTTGGTCATTCCTCTGGTTGTATCATTTAGTTTCCTAAAACTGATGTTTCCATTAAAATAGTAGTAAAAAAATCAAGAAAATAAATGACATAGTAGGAACCCAGTATTCTCTATTTCATTTCATTTCCTCAGTACTCCAATTCTAATTCCCCTTTCCTACCCCCTTTCTGACCCCATTCTACCAATTTTATATTTCAAGCCACAGAAGCTGCTGTTGGTGACTTGGACTTGGGGGAGGGGAATCACTTACTTGCCTAGAAGATTCACAGGCTTGAACATTAGAGCTAGAAGGGCCTTCAGAGGCCATCTAGGGCAACCAGATGAGGAAGCCATGGCCCAGGGAGGAGAAGCTATGTGCCCACGATTACAAATAGTAAGCATCAAAGATGTGACTTGAAGCCAAGTCTCTGACTCCAGAGCTGGTGTTCTTTCAAGGGCAAGCCCCATTTACAGGACTAGATTAGAGGCAAATAGTTTCCTGCTCTCCCCAGTTGCAGCACTGCACAATTCTCTTATGAAAACATTGTCATAAATGATAATATGGTTTTATAGTACTTTAATACAATGTGACTGTTACCCTATGGGTTAAATAGACGTTTATGTGTCTACCTAGGAATAAAACCATAATTTATAAACATTACTTCAATGGGAAAATGTCTTCCAAACAGTGTAGAAACTTTTGGAACACAGCCCACGAATAAGTCAGAGGCTCTTTGTGTTCTTACTGCCTCAGTTACTTCAGAAAGTTGAAACTTCTCTGTCTTAAAGTCTCTAAGGTCTCTTCTTTTGACATTTTTGAACTTTTGATTGGCTTTTGTCAAGAAGGCCATCTCCTCCCAGTTCAGTTCTGTGGGCGTGAGTACTCCCTGTGGCCAGGGCACCATTCCCATTACTGACCCCTGCCCTGCACCATTGCTTCCAGGCCTGCGTCCCTGCTTCCCTCCCATCTGCTAACCTTAATTCCCAGAAAATTGTGATGTTTTACACAGCAAACCCCTGTCCTCGTAGTCCCTGCAGTTCTGAGGCAGGTGTTTCTGGAATTTTACAACACTAAGATAGGTCATTTAAGTTCATTAAAAAAAAATTTTTTTTCAAAACCTCTATTGTCAGTAGTCGAAACCTCTGCTCCCATCAACTGCTTTTTCTTCCTCTGAACTCCCCTGCTGGCAATGTTAAGGCAAGGCTGTGTAATTCCATAAAGTACTTCTTCACTTACTGTTCCTAGCTTCTTAAGAGTTGACTCTGTTGTCAGTATGTGTGAAAAGGGTGAGGAAGAATGAACAGAATAGTTAGAAAAAACAATTTTAATTGATCTTTAAACCTGCAAGAGACCATGAAACAGCCCAAAGAGAAATGAAATACAATTAATGGACAGAATTATTGAGCTCAAGAATGTACTATAGCCACTGTAATATAAGTATAGTGTAACAGGTTCCAGTCCCTAGAAACGGATACTTAATGGTGGTTCATATTTCAGTGGAGCTATCTAGAAGATTTAATATGGTACTTTTTAAAAAAATTGTTTCCCTGCTTCTTTTTTTTTGTGCTTCTGATCATCTTATTTCATATATAGTTACTATGTTTCTCTTTTTTTAAACCTCCACATTCATAGTTATGAAGACTACGGTTTATTAACCATCACCAGTCTCAGTAAGAAAACGTAAATTATATCACATTTTAAAATGGATGATTTCCAGGAAGGATAAGACAAAAACACTTTAAGAAATCACTGAAAAAAAGCCTCTTGTTTTAAAGGCATTAAAGCCTAAATTACATCTTTTTATAGTTATTTTTAACTCTGTAACTTGATTTGGTCTCAGGATGTATGTATGCTAAGGCTTAACAGACCTGGAGATTAAGAGCTTCTCCCCCTCCCCAGGTGATTGCTTGCTATCGCACAATAAGAGCTCAGTTTCCTGTATCCCTAGCCCTCATTTCCTTATTAGTCAATTCAGATAATACGTGGATCCTAGAGGTCTACCGGTGAGGTGTAGGTTAGTGAGCTCTTTGTCAAAAACTATATAAGTGTGAGCCCTGAGTGGTTCTGGAGCTTGGACCAAATCAAGTATGTCACACTCCACATTCCAGCCACTGACTGTGGCTGCTTAGAGAACTGTGGGTTGATCGGGCCTGCCTACACAAATACACTGTTCCTGGATGGTGTTTCTTCTGTCTTTGAAAATGGCCATAAAGCTTTGTCACCTGTACTTCAACATAGCCACTCCATTCCTTTTGTACAGCAGACTCAAAATTCCTACCCTCCGTTATTTTTCCCCCTTAATATTTTTCCAATTACGTGTAAAGATAGTTTTCAACATTCACTTTTATAAGATTTTGACTTCCAGATTTTTTTTCTGCCTCCCCTTCCCACTTCCCAAGAAAGCAAGCAATCTGATATAGGCTGTAGGAGTACAATCATACTAAACATATTTCCACATTAGTCATGTTGTGAAAGAAGAATCAGAACAAAAGGGGAAAACCACAAGAAAGAAAAAACAAAACAAAAAGGGAGAAAATAGTATTCTTTGATCTTCATTGGGACTCCATAGTTCTTTCTCTGTATGTGGATAGCATTTTCCATCATGAGTCTTTTGGAATTGTCTTAGATCGTTGCGTTGCTGAGAAGAGCTAAGTCTATCAAAGTTGATTATCACACTATGTTACTGTTACTGTATGCAGTGTTCCGTTTCCTGCTCCTTCATTGAAGTTACTAGATGTTAGGCCATTGTATTGGCCTTTCCAACCAGTATTTTTGAATCCATCTCTTCTAGTATAACACGTTCCTTTTCCTTGTTGTTTCCCCTGCAGTTTGCAGAGTGGTGTTTAGATTATGGAGCACATGGGTGTCGTATTCCTGACAGACCCTACTCACTCTTTGAAGGTAAGGATTGCCAAGAGAAAAGGAGGTAACGTTTATGCTTTAAAATGTGAATAGGTGAGATCCATTACTTCTCTCTGAGAATGAGTAGTGTGGACATTTTTCTTGCATGAGTAAGAATGTTAAGAAATAAAGTAGTGACATAAATGAGTTTATTGCTGCAATTTGTGCCCAAGCATGTGAACTTAGCCGTTTCTTATAGCAAATTGCAGTTTCCCATTATTTTGTGAAATGTGTATACAGACATAAGTGTTATTTTATAGTTGAGGAAATAGGCCCTTCACTTTCCTGTGTGTTTTGGGGGTTTTTTTGGGTTTTTTTGGTGAGGCAGTTGGGGTTAAGTGACTTGCCTGGAGTCACACAGCTAGTGAGTATTATGTGTCTGAGGCTGGATTTGAACTCAGGTCCTCCTGACTCCAGGGCCAGTACTCTATCCACTGCACCACCTAGCTGCCCCACTTCCCTATGTTTCTTTCTCTTGGTTTCTCTTTCTGAAAGTGATAGACATATCACGACTTGGGCCACACACCACCTGGCCCCAGCCACTCTTCACAAGTTCATTGGATGTCATTCCAGTCCCTACATCTGCTCCTCCATTCCAGGACAGCAATACCCTGTGTCACCCCTAAAGTCTTTCCTTTCTTTCAGACTTCAGAGCTGAAAGGGACCTCAGAGGCCAGGCAGTCCAACCCTGTCACTTTGGGTGCTCAGGCACCACCTTGTACATGAAGCGTTTCTTACCCCAACTGCTTTGTTGTTAACTACCCTGTATTCATTCTCTTTACATTTGATCTGTGTGTGTTTGTTTATGTCCTTGTTTCCGCCATTAGAATTGAAGTTCCCTGAGAATAGGGTGTGTTTTGTTCCTCCTGTTTGTCTCCTCAGTAGGTAGCACGGTGCCTAGCACGTAACTCAATGGTCAATTGATAAGTGATCGAGGATAGTGACCAGAGCCCTGGGCAGTAAGATGGGACAGTCGTTATTGGTGTCTGAACTAACTGGAACCCCAAAGCAGTGTGGACAAAATTATTTTTTAAAACCAGACATAGTATACTTAAAAAGGGGAAAATTAAAGTAAAAGGGTTTTATGGTGAACATTTCACATTAGCTCTGTAGCATACTGCTTGTGTATGTGAATGGACATGAATTTTATTGGTCTTGTGCTCGTGTTGCAAAAACAAAAAGACAGCCCTGGTAATTACTGTTAGATCAGCTTGACATTAGGAGCGAGAAATGAAAAGATCATAAGACTGATGAAACAAATCATTAGATAACCAATTTACAACGACCTAAATCGGCAAGACATTAACAGGCCCCCTGCCTAGCTTCCTGGAGAGCAACTTGGAGTTGAATATGAATCAGCAATAGAATATTATTGCAGAAAAAAGACAACCATCATGTTACTAAACTCTTTCTTTGTGAGACTTCAGTTAGAGCAAGGAGTCCATTTTTTCAGGCACCAAATTTTTTAAAGAATATGAAAAAAAAAACTAGAGAAGGTCCAAAAGAGGGTAGCAAAGATAAACATGTGGGTAGAAAACCCACTTCCTATGAAGAACTGGAGTTGTTTAATTTGGATAAAGTGGAGTCTTAGTAATGACTTGATCATTTTCTGTATGTATATGAAGGTGAGGGGAAATTGACATAAGATTTTGAAAGAGCTTGAAAATCTTAATTAAAACAGTGGACCTGTATGCATCCTAGATCAGAGCATTGGACATGGAATTAGAGAACCTGGCTTCACATCCACATTCTGACACTTCTTACCTTGTAACCTTGGTTGAGTCACTTAACATCTGTGGGTTTCATTTGCCTTATCCATAAAATGAGGAAGTTGGGCTATATATGACCTATCAGGTCCCTTCCAGGTCTAAATCTGTGATTTTGTTGCCTCCTTCTTCTGCCAAGGGAGTGAATTTTAATGATTATTTGAAGTCTCTGTCAAAGATGGTATTTAGTAAGGAAATCATTCCATTTGAACAAGAATTTATTAAACATGAATGTCCTCGAATGTGCCTAAAGTTTGTGACCCATTTCTTCCTTGAAATGTTCTCTGATTAGCTATTTAGGCAAAGCCTAGAGCTTTCTAGTAAGTAAGTGGAATTGCCATAAGGCTTCATATGATTAGGAGGAAATAGTGTGCTACTAACAACAACAATAACAGCAGCAGAATAGCATTTATAGAGCTCCTGTTATGTGCCAGGCGCTGGGCTGAGTGCTTTACAAATATCCTGTAAGGTAAATGCTGTTATTACCCTCATTTTACAGTTGAGGAAACTGAGGCAAACAGGTTAAGTGATTTGCCCCAGAGTCACACAGCTATTAAGTATCTTGACTCCAGACCTAGTATCAGGCCACCTAGCTGCCTCTAAATGTAACTCTGCCTCTATCTGATAAATTTAGTATATTTTTCCCCCTTTTGATTGGGAAACTTGAATGTGTGCCATCCTAGTCAATCACCTGAGCGCGAATGAGTTCTTGCTGTGCAGAAAGCTGGCGAAGAATTAATGGGGCTACTTGGACACATGGTTTGTTTGGCACAGAGGAACTGGCTGCCTGTAATGATTGACTCTCTTGCAAAAGTTTATTTATCATCTCAGTTCAGTGGATCTAACATGTTCCAGGCCTCTTCAAGCCTTAAAAGGATAGAAAGTGCAGTTCGGAAACATGTTTACTTAGAATAAGATAATAAAATCCATAGCTGGTTGAATTTTTGCATTTGGGGAAAGTTTTGCATTTTGCTCCCTGAAAATTACAACAATGGGACCTTCAGAATAATTCTGACCCTCTACCTTAACTCATGAATCCCATTTACAGTGTCCCTGGTAAATGTTCTTCCAGCCTTTGCTTCAGTAACTCCGGTAAAAGGGAGCTTGGTATCAGAGGAGGGCACCGATTTCATCTTTTTAGAGCTCCCTTCGTTAGGAGGCTCTTCCTCATAATGAGCGAAAATATACCTGGCTATGAATTCTACCATTGGTCTTAGTTTGGTGCTGGAGGCAGGAAATTAGACCAAATCTTTGTGACCAGGAACAAGTCATTTAAACCCTCTCTGAGCTCAAGTTTTCTCATCTGTATTAAAATGAAGATACATCAGTGCCTATAGTAGCTACCACATGGTATTGTTGTGAAGACCAAATGAGATAAGTAAAGCTCTTTGTACAGGAAAAGCACTAGAGAAATGTCAGCTAACCATTGTTCTCATTTCTGTTTTCTTCCCAGAATTCTGTAGTTACTAGAGAGCCCTCCTTTGTTGTACAAATATCACCTGTCCCCAATTCAATCCAATTCAGCAAGTTTTTATTAAGTGTGCCAGGTAATGGTGCTGAGCTCTGGTAAACAAAGCCAGAAATAGAACTGCTCCTGCCCCTAAGGAGCTTGCATTCTCATGGGGGAAATATAAAATGTATACAAAGTAAATAGACACAAGGGGGAGGCAGGGGTGTGGAGACCATTGCCAGCTGAAGAGCCTCATCTTACAGCTTTAAGATTCAAGTTAAAGACATTGTCATTCTTCAAATGGAGACAGCATGTGTAATTGTATGTTAAATTACATCCTCATTAGAGCCTAGACATTATTTCTGCTTTGAAAAACATGCTCTGAAGGAAAAAAAGATGAATACTCACTTTGAAGAATTAGATTTTAAATTTTATTTTTTTATCCATTCTGCCACTCTCATTAATTTTATTAAGCCATTTAATCCATTCACATTTTTTCCTTCTGTTTATTTCTTTTGTATTTAATCTCTTTCTCAACATCATTTGACCCTCCTCTTTTCCTGTCCAATTAAAATGTGTTTCCTCTTACTTTAAGAATTTTTTATCCTAGCACTGCCTTTCAAAATATTTCCTTTTCTTTGTTCCCTTCATTTATCTTTATTCTGAGTGGTGCTCTCCATTTTATAGGCTACACTTATTAAATTTTAGTTTTATGTTTATTTTTAAGTGCTTGAGATTCATGAATTTTAAAGAATGTGCTTTGAGGTTGTGTTTTAGAAGGTGTCATAGCACCTTTTCTTGCAAAGAGAATAATATTTTGTGTATTACAGGTATGGGCGGCACTATTCACTTTCTGTCAGATATCCTGGTTCCAGAGACATCCCGCTTTCCGGCATTTGAACTTGGCCCTCCACAAAGGGAAAAAAAGGTAGAAAGAGACAGCTGAACACATCCCTTTGTCTCAAAAGCAACACAACTGTTTAGTGCCTGAGACAGAACCGACTTTGGATCTTAAAGAAGTCAGCATCCACCCTTGCCCCTTTATCCAAAGGACCATGAAAAGCATGAGCGAAGGAAGCCACCACATTGGTGTTTTGTTGCAGCACTACTGTCAGTTGTGTGAAATATGAATTCCTTAAATTCATTTGCCATTCTTCCCTTCAGGCTCTTTCTGGTGTTTGCATGTTTCTTGGTGTTGTCCGTAGGTGTGAGTTTGTTGTTCTGTTCGGAGACAGAGCTGTTCAGTTTGTGTGAATCCCAATCCTGCCTTCGCATGAGTGTTAATAGCAGCAACACACACAGCATCTCTAGTGAATAAAGTGGCACTTCTTCCCTCTTTACGTCAAAGGAAAATGGCAAATGCAGTGTGAAGTCCATTTAGCTTAGAATCTTGGAACTATATGAATATGGTGACTGTACTTCCTTCCTCCTTCCCCCTTCCTCATGTTTTCTGTGGGCACGTTTCATTTGAACAGTATTTTCTCCTGGCTATCGTGAGAGAAAGGCACCTCCAAGAATTTAAAATTAGCACGAGTAGGTAGAGGGTGGGCCGTAGTGAAGAGTTCTTGGAAACTGCTCATAAAACAGTTGAGAATTTCCCATGTGTGCACTTATGTCTCTGCATTCTTAGTAATTCCTTGGACTAAGTTGTGGCTGTCCCCACCCCCCATAACCCCTAGTGACATGCCTCAGTTTTTAGTAGAGAGTTCACATGCCTTTGATGCAGTTCTCAAAGGTTATTTGTAGTAGTAACAGTGATCCTAGTTCCCAAGGCCCTCTTCAGTTAAATCAGATGTATGGTGTGTAAGGCAGTATCTTACGCTGAGCCTGACCAGAACATCGGTATAGTTAGTACCGACATCTGATTGTCAGTAATTCAGGAACAGGAACATGTACAGAAAATAGGCATTATTAAAGCAGGCTATACTTGAGCCTCAAGAATTAATGAATTTCATAACCTGTTATAATGATGAGAGCGGTGAATGGAATTTCACTTGAGTATTCAAAGGAAAACATTAATTAAACCATCGTGGTGACCCTGTAATTAAAATGTTTCAGAAACAATAATCCATTTGTAGACTTACAATGAAAAGTATTTGATGAAGTTTTGAGTGCTCTCATTTCATGAGCTATTTTAATATAGGAGTATGACTCTGTTTATTCACATACAGACCTAATTCTCTATGATTTTTCTATAATACAGATGTAGATTATTTTGACAGTATCATTGCCTTTATATTACCAGTTGAAAATGGAGGCACTATTATTTTTTTTAATCTGCTACTAATTTGGCTAACATATCTTAATTCCACTTGGTAATTTCCATTTCCCATCCATTGGATACCCATTCTAGATCCTCACAGATAATACAAAGAAATCACGTAACCTTGATAACATTTGCCAAGGCAGAATGTTCTGGGTTTTTAAAGAACAATATAATTTTTTGGTGATCAGCCACACCATTATCAGGAACCACCTATACAAGTGCTTACTTCCCTAGTTATGAATTTTCTTTTTGTAAATGGAAAATAACCTACATTTCAGTTTCAATTTAATTTCCTTTCATGTACTGTTACTGAAGAATTCCTGAGCCCTGTTAATATGAATCACAAGCCACAATTGTAATTGCTGAATAGATAGACCTCAGTTCACAAATCAATTTATTAAATTTGTAGAAATCCACAGAGATGAAAGATGCCCCATAACTTTCAAATTATCATTCTTTCTTCTTGCCATTGCAGTATTTTTTCTAAGTCATTGACTTTTTTTTTTTAACGATATACCAAAGTACAGTCTGATCAGGATTCAGACTAATAATTTGCTGTCATGAATGATGTAAGAGGAGTTGTTTTGCAAAACAAAATACATCATGTAGAATCTCATCCAGTTCACCACAGAATACCAGCCCATCAGTGGCCACAAATTGCAGGGTTTGCTGGTGATCTCCTACCACCCATATGACCTTTTCTGTGCCCAGTTTCATCAATAGTAATAGCTGGGATCTGAATAGAAGACCAACCATCTTTAGAATGACCTTTCTGTCCTCTTAGTGGACCAGTGAGAAAGGGGCAAATAGAATGAATCACTTTAGGTGCACCCAAAATGAGATCCTTGCCAAGATGAAGAGACACTCCCCTAAAGATGTTATTTATGATAGAGATCTCCAGACTAGCACCGAAGGTTCAGTCTAACTGGATTTCCTTGTATTTAGGCTTGTTCATTTCCATTTATGTTTGAAAAATCAGGGGCTAACCTGATGGGGTAGAATAATTATGTCTATTTCAAGTTAACAAAAATATTTGCTGAATGAATGACTGTCCCCAAAGAGCTGATGTGGAAAACAAGTTATCAACCTAGGAAAATTAATATGCTTTCAGGGTTTCGTTTGGGAAGGAGGGGGGAGGGAAGCTGCCAACATTCACACTCCTACATAGTAAAGTGGTGAGTAGTTGCATTGTTTTTTTCATTCACTCCCAGTTCCCTGTGTCTTCTAACATGGCTATTTTTCAGAACTTGCCACACATTAATTGAAAGCGAAGTAGGCAGGTCATTTAAAGAATTAAATTTAGTAGTTAGTGATGGGAGTGTGTACTGACTCCTAAAATTTCAGCATCTCCATTTCATTGGTGAGGATATGGCTTTTCTGGGGTTCACAGCTGTGTAACACCAATGCTTTAAATGCATTATACTGTTTGAAAATGAGGAAAAACTGTGATGTCTACTAAAGTTCCAGGGGTCACTTGGTTTCATTAGTAAAAATATTTTTTGTGTGTGGTGATGGCTTGAGGTTTCTTTATTTCTTGCATTTTTTTTTTGAAGAATTATATTACTGAATAGTTTTAAAAATTTTTCTGAAGACTCGATTCATTTTTCAATCCACTTCAACAAGAAGGGTGCCTACAAGGTGCCAGGCCAAGATGTGGTGATTTAGGGAAGGTCATGGAGAACTTTGGGTAGTTGGAGAACATCCTAGAGCTAAATCTTGAAGGGTGGGTAGGATTGGATAGGGAGAAGAGAAAGCCAAGCCATTCAGAGCAGTGGGTAAGTATGGCAGAGCAATAGGAAATAAGTTGAGGTAGAATGAGGTCAAATCATGGAAGGTCTGGAAAGTTAGGTTGAAAAGTTCTGACGATAGCAGACACTATTATAACTCCTTATTTACTAACTGAACAACCAGCATTTATATCAGCATTTTAAAGCTGACAGAGTACTTTACACACATTCTCTCATTTGAGTGGCTCAGCAACCTCTCCAGTTGCTACTGTAGGTATTATTTTCTCCATTGACAGGTGAGGACACAGTCTCAGATTAAGTGATTTGCCTGTGGTCATATAGTTAGTATCAGGTGTAGGTGGCCGAACCTAGCACTACTCATTGCACCACATAATAGGAAATGGGAGACCATTATAAATTTTTCAGGGCTTAAGGGATGGATGAGGGGGGAGGGGTAGAAGAAGAAGATCTGGAGGAAGCATTTGGGACAGACTGGAGAGAGAACCTGGAACCAGAGAGAATCAGCTAGAAAACTAGTGCAGTAATCTAGAATGAGTCAGTAAGGGCCAGAGCCAGTGGGAGTAGAGGAAGAGACAAATAAAAGATGGTTTGAAAACATTTTTTCTCCCTTGTCTAATTTTCTCTCTTTTCAAGTTTCCCTGGGTAATTTATCACTCTTAAGCAGTAGAGCCCTACAGGCAAAACTCTACAATATTAAAATAATGTTTTATTGGCAAGACAGAAGGGATATTAGGCTTTTCTTAGCAGCTGAATGCATCCAGCAGCTTTGTCAGAAAATCATTAGACCTTTGCTTCACCTGACACAGGCACGTCCATCCTCTTAGTGCATTTGGCCCTGGCATTTAATTGGGAAAGAAAAGATTCTGGCAGGAAAGCAAGGAAGGAAGCCTTGGGACCATAGGTGGGAAAACTAATTAGGTGGCCAAGATATGAATGAGGCAGGTGTGGTCCAAAGACTGCTCACCACCTGCATATTGGCTTCATGCCCAAAAGTCTGGTCTGGTTCAGGGCAGTGGAATCTAAACTATATCTGGGACTTTCCCTTATAGGTAAGAGAAAGGAATGAAGTCAACTAGAGAAAATACCTTAGTTGCTTCTTTTTGTTACAAAATGTACCTGTGTTTAAATTTATGATTTTTTAATGCAGCTCCAATATCATTGGGAGAAGGAGAATGAATGAATGAAAAAGCATCAAGTACTTAATATTTGCCAGTCACTACTAACCACTGGTACGCAAACACAAAAAGCAAGTCAGTCCCTGCCTTCATGGAAGGTGCTCTGTTTAGGAAGGGTATTTGAGACTGGGATGTCCCAGGGAGGCTGAGTGGAGCCATAGGGCGATTGATTCCCCCTGTTCCTTTTCAGAAATAATAGTGTTGATTCAACTGTTCGAGGGAGTCAACAAGCATTTACCTACCATGTACAAGCAAGTACCTATCTTGTACTAGCAACTGCAGAAATAAGTGTAAATAATAATTCCTGTTAACAAGGAGATTGCATTTGAATGGGGAAGACAAGAAGAAACTAGACAGCAAAATTTGTTTTAAATTTTAACATTTTAGGGAAATTCTGAAATGCATTATTTGCTTCTTTTTCTGTCTCCTAAATGCAACATAACAAATGCAATTCTCTTTCCTTAATGACTCAATTTAATTCAACAAATATTAATCACCTCCTTATGCAACTCGCTGAAGTACTAGGCCCTGGGGTTACAAAGGCAGGAGCCAAAATGTCTAACAAACATTTGTTAAGCACTTGTTGTGTGCCAAGGCATTGTGCTAAGCTCTGGGGTTAAAGTGAAAACAACTGCCCTCCAGAAGTGCATAGTCTGTAGAGGGAGACTCAGTTACGCACATTAGGAACATGTGAAGGTAATCTCAGTGGGGAAGGTTGTAGTAGGTGGGGGAATTGAAGAAGGCCCACAGAAAGGCTCTGAGCTACATCTGGAAGGAA